CCAGCAAAGGCCAACAGCATACTGAGCTCTATTAGAAAGAGTACAGCCGTTTGGGCAAGGATGCGATTGCTTTCCTCTAGCTGGTACTGGCCAGACTACATTTGGAGAACGATGTCCAGATTTGGGTTCCCCAGGACAAGAAGGACACTGACATACTCGAGTGGGTCCACTTAGGGCCACCAAGATGTCTGGGGGTTGAAGCATAACGACACAGGCTGAGAGAGCACATGGAGGCTGAGAGAGCTAGGTTTGTCCAGCCTAAAGAAGAAAACGGTCAAAGGAGATCTTAATCTTTATTTACTTAGTAGTAGGGTGTAGAGAACATGCAGCCTCTCTTCTTGGAGGTGCAGAGCGAGAGGAGGAGATGTAGTAGACACAAGCTGAAAGATGAAAAATTCCAATTTGATATCAGGAAAAAAAAATAATTGTGAGGGTGGTCAAACAGGCTGACCAGAGATGTTATGGCATCTCCATCCTTGGAAAGCGTTCAAAACTCAACTGGACATGTCACTGAGAAACCTGATGTACTTGATTCTGCTCTGAACAGGAACGGACTCAAACTGACAAACTCCTGAGGTACCTTCCAACCTAAATTCTTTGATTTCCAAAGAACCTCTCCAAAGACCTGACTCAGAGAACGGCATTCTTTAATTGACAGATCACTCGTAGCTTCAGTAGCAATTCTACAGACCACAGAGTACATGCAATGAGTGTTATTCCTTTATTTACATCCCATCAGTGCCATAATTTAATTAATTTTTAATTTCTTACAGAAAACAAACATTACAGCTTGGGTTCTTCCACAGTAGGCTTTTCCCTTTTTCATGACAAGATTTCAAAGTCACCCCAAATATTTAACTACTTAATAAGTGAAAACAGAACACTTGAGTGTTGTAATACACTTGAGTCATATCTAAAAGTCTAAGGAACCACTGACACATTTCAGAGTCTAAATTAATTTTCAACTTATAAATAAACTCTAAATTAATTCTTTTTACAAAAGAATCATCAGCCATAACTAAAATAAGATACTTCAGAATATTTCAGGTTGGATGGAACCTCAGGAGGTCTCTAATCCAACCTTGTGCATAAAGCAAGGGTCAGCTGTCAGGTGACCAAGTTGCACAAAACTTTTTCCAGTCCAGAAACCCTGCACAGATGGAGAGACAGCAGGACCTCTGCTTCACGGCTTGGGTATCCTCATCAGGAAAAGCTTCTCCAACTGGCATCTGTCCCTTCAACTTGTGCCTGTTGCCACTTGTTCTCCTGTCATGCAGCACTGTGAATAGCCTGGCTCTATCTCCTCTATGATGTCCCTGTAAGTACTGGCAGACTGCTGTCAGGGTCCCTCAAAGCCACCCCTGCTACAGGGTGAACAAGCCCAGATCCCTCAGCCTTCTCCTTGCAGTGCAAGCACTCCAGTTCCTGGCCATCTTGGTGGCCTCTGCTGAAGTCTGCTTAAAGAATGATGAGTAAAGGGGCTGTACTCTCTTCCCTCAGTCTCCAGCTCTGCCCCTGTTCATGCAGTTCAAGATGCTTGCTGCCCACCAACCCTCTGGGCCTTTTCCACAGATCAGACCCAGCCAGGAAGTCCCAGCCTGTACTATTGCCAGGAAAGCTCCCTTTCCAGGTCCAGGACTTTGCATTTGTCCTCTTAGATTTATATAAGGTTCCCACTGGACCATTACCTCAGCTTCTAGGCCACCCTGAATGACAGCCCTGTCCTTCAGTGTATCAACTGTTCCTCCCAATTTAATATCAGTTGTAAATCTGGTAGGCAAGAACTCTGTCACCTACACTAGGTCACTGACAAAGATGTTAAATAGGAGAGATCCCAGGACAAACCCCTGCATCACTTCTCTAATTTCCAGCCTTCTAGTAGAATACAACACTTCAACCACTACTCTCTGAGAATGATCATAAAATGAGGTTTCTTACCTGTCTGGTTGTCTACCAATCCAGACTTTAATCCCCTAATTTGGATTGCTCCAATTATCTTCCTAAGGATCAAAGTGAAGCTAAATTGCCTGTAGTGCCCAAATTTGGGTGGTTATTTTGGCCATTCTGAAGGTAGGTATGACATACTACTTCCACCAGTCAACCCCAGTGGAGTTCTTCTCTGATCTTCACAGCCTACCAAAGACAGCAAGCCTTTCAAGGACCCTTGGATGCAGCCCATTTGATCCCAAGGATTTGTACAGGTTGAGTTCTCTCAAGTAATCCCAAACTGGATCCTCATCTACTGCTGGTTGTTCTTCTCTTTGAACCTTTCCACTGAGCATGGTGAGCTGGGAAAACTTATTGGTGAACACCGAAACAAAGTGATCAGCATCTCAGACTTATCTGTGTCTGCTGCCTTAAAATGACCCATTTAACTGAGCACTGAGCCCACTTTTGCCTTGTCCAGCCTTTTAGTACTAATGCAGCAGTAGATGCTCTTCTTTTGCCTTTGAAGTCCCTTGCAAATCCCCTGCAGTTGAGCTTTGGCCTTCCTGACATCACCCCTGCAATACTTCTAAATTCATCCCTTGTATCTTGTACCTGTTTCCACCTCCTGTCTGCAAGCTTTTGGAGATGAAGTGTTGTAATGAGTTCCCTGCTTGCCAAGCCTGGCTTATGATTACATCTGCTTGGCTTTCTAAGTACAAGGATGTGCCTCTACTGAGTATCTTAGTGTTTGAATACTATCCTTAATGAACTGCCAGCTTTCTTCGAGTTCCTTTAGAGCGGCATCCCATGGGATCTCACCTCCCAGTGTACTGAAAAGCTGAAATATGCTTGCCTGAAATCTAGGGACTGTATTCTGCCCCTCTTCTTCCTCAATCCATTCAAGATCTTCACCTCCATTATTTCATAGCTGCTACAGCCAAGTCTGGCATTGATTATTAAATTCTAAAACAGTTCTTCCTTGTTAGTCGTAAAATCATAAACTACATGCATTTGCCTCAGTAACAATTAAAATAACTGATATGCACTTTTGCTATAGGGTATGCCAAAACAAACTCGGGGAATACACACCAGGTCATCGGGACAATCAGCATGCAGACCAGCAACTTGTAAGTAATTGCCCTCAGCTGTAAAATTGTACCGAATATGCTCTGGCAAGACATGTTTGTCAATCTTGTTGGGAAGGTGAGTTCCTGTCAGAAATTCATTACATAAATCCAATATTCTGACGTTGAGGTTGACTGCCTTTTTACGCTGTAAGAAGAATAAAGTACAAAACATATAATATCTTCTGACATAGTACAAGCAGAACTCAAAGTTTCTAAAGCCTAAAGAACTTTTCCAGAAATTAACCAGAAAATACAGTATTTAAGATTAGACCTACAGCATCAATAAAACCCTAATGCAAGGTTGAAGTCAACAAGATCAGATGTTAACACAGTTCTACAATTCATACCAGATTGAAAGGAAATACCTATGTTTTTGCATTCAGAATATGTACAGTAGAGTTTAGGTAGAATTTACGTAAGTTTTGCTAACTCCTTAGAAAGCATTTATAAAACTATGCCTAATATCATGGCGATGTAAAACACAGAGGACAAAAAAAGCATCGAGATGGATAAATCCTACTAGCATCCTGAAACAGATACAGAATTACAGCTCTCATTACTGTCTGTATTGCACTATTTTCTAGAGATTTAGATCTAGAGCCATTTATGCTATTTCAACCTTTCCCTGAGGAGTCTGTGATGTAGGGTTTTATCACCATCATTACAGTATTTCACACACATAACCTTACTGTAAGATTTGCTTCAGTGAACTTGAGTATGCTCTCTATTGCTTGTGAGTTCATAGCTCAAAAGAAAATGCTACGATACAACACTCTTGTACAGTTCAAAGAACGACACAACCTGCAGATCTCTGTCCTCCCATTCCACCCTCACTCTTTAAAACACATCTTTAGAGTTTTAGTTTTAAAAGTAGAAGTTCTTTGTAGCAGACGTAAATTCCAACTTATGATAGCGAAGGATTTCTAAAGCCTGAAATGAGAACTGAAAAGAAACAGTGGCCAGCTAGCTATAGAAGAAAAGTGGAATAGGCAGGGGAGGAAGAGGAAAATGTGCAAAAATAAGGGGCAAGTGAAATTATAACTGAAAGGGGATGAAGCACCGTACAACCAATAGTCAAATCAGAAATAAAACACAGAGTCCAAGTTTCAGAGTTGTTCTTTGTACAAAGTAATTGTAAAAATATATTCTAGAAGCATTTTACAGGTCACAAAACACCATCACAACCACAATCTTCAGAGTAGCTTTACCACATAAATCTGATAAAACAGCCTTTGTACAGATCTTTTTGGAAGGGATGACTCAAATAAACAAGGTATTAACTTTATACAGGGACATGAGCTATGAACAGACATCCAACAGAGCATCCATACCACAAAACATGGTGAAAACTGAGGGTTTTGGCAAATCTGCCACTAACCACTGCGAAAGCATGTAAAAGCTCCAAGAGATGTAACCAGACCATGCTCAGACATTCAGTTGTGCACAAAATTTACAACCTCTGGTTACATCAGCACCAAAGGAGAGCCTGGACACACACCTGATCCCTTCTACAACACTCTATTTGATCAACCTGTCATCACAGTGCACAAGGCACTGCTTGCCCCCCGTAAATAAGCTGTTCAGACAGGTAAGCACTTATTTTAAATATCTGATGCAGACACCAATCAAAGGAAGCAGGATCCCAGGTCTTGCATATAACTCTTCAGAACAGACAAAGGAATGATGAGGGCCAAACTTGGAAGAACACCCAACTAATATCTAAAACAACATTAAAAAACGTACTTTAGAAGTGATTTAAAATAGACAAAATCAACTACTTCTGAGAAGACAAAATTCCACAGAGGACACTGGGAATCTCAGAGGACAAACTGGCACAGAATCATGTGATTCATGTCGCACATGTTTCATTATCTGGTCTTTGGTAGTCAGGCAAATCTCTGTTCAAATACTGTAGCCAAAAATTACCTTTTCTTCATCCAAATGAATGCCACTGATCTCAAAATCAAACATAAAAAGTTCTGCCACTCGCCTAAAAACAAAGTAAATCCCCGTTAAAACAGCCTCATTTGATAGCAAGCATAATTTTTAACAGATTTTGCCCATACTAGTTATTTAGGTTTGATGACTTTTACAGAGAATAACAACGAAGTTATATGAGTATTGTTATCATGGACACAGACGTCCTATGTTTCAGATCCTGAACAGTTTACTCAGTGAAACAGGACTTTTCCTTTGTAGTTATTTTAGTCATCTGCACTGAAAATATCCTTCAACAATAACTCCACTACATTAATCTAGATGTTTAACCCATTTATGTAAATTACCATTTTAATTTGACACTTCACTTATTCTAACGGATCAGAAGAAGACGTCTTCAAATCTAACATCCTTGAATTGTGGGGAAAGAAGGAAGAAGGAAGTAGTTCACTCAAAATTAAGCTTGTCGAACAATGTCAGCAAAGAAATAATTCAAGACTACAACTGAATCAGCAGCTAATAAAACATTTTACAGCATTTAAAGTAACCTTTAAACAAATATACAGATAACCCGATTTTAAAAGATATAAATAAGTCCGTATAAACTGAAATCAAGACATAGTCTGTTCCCTACCTTTATTGCTAAAAACACTGATCTATACACACTACAGTAAGGCACCTCATTTTAATAAAAATGATGTTATTGAAGAAAATCTTAAGTTCTCATTTTTTTGTTTTTGCTGATGTCGTTATTCAACTTAAATATATCTTGTACTCTAGTCACAGAGATATCCTTCAAGACTACAGAACTACAAAATTCTTAACTCCTGTGCAGAAAATTCAGTAGTAACTAATAAACCAGTAAAGGAGATGTGGTATGTTTTCCAGTCGTATTAAGTAATTTAACAAAACACAAAATATAAGCAAAATAAGGAACGATATATACTACCTAAAAATCCAGATCTATAAGCATTAAGTACCTGGTTTCTGGATCTAGGGAACTCATAACAACTTCATCAGCTAGCAGTCGTCTCAAACTCTGACACAGTTCAACATCTGTATTTAATCTGGAACGATACAGAGTAAAAGAATTATGCATTAGCAACAAACACTAATATTTCAGTCTCTTGGTATTTACTCAAAGGCAGAGCTTAATATTTAATGAAATAACATTAAAAAGCAAGGACTGTATTTTCAAAATTATTTCTGCTTCACAACCAGTCTTAAAAACTTAAAAATTTGTATACAAAGGATGAATGGATGAACTGGCATGGAAACCAGGTCTTGTGCTTCCAATAGGAAAATACTTCTGGATGGCATTTTGTGGCAACTACAAGCAAGTCAGACAGCTTATTTTTTTATGCACAAAGATAATCATGGCAAGAACATAAAGGTGGGAGAACTGTTTTCTAATCCTTATTTTGAAAGGACTCCAACTCCATTAAAGGAAAATCTGCTCAAGTTTGCCATCAGATAAATGTGTTGCTGGCTGCCACTGAAAAAGACTAAGAGCTTACTACCCCTAGAACATTTCCAGATGCTCATCACTGTCCCTGGGCCACACAACACTATGTCCATCAGATCTGCTGTTAACTACAAGTACGTATGACGACCTGGTTTACTGGGTGAGAATCACGGTGGGGAATGAAAGACACACATACACATCAGCATAGCTGCGGTGGGCAGCAGCCCCCAGTCTGACAGTTTTGAACACTAACTTCTTAAATCAGCTGAGGTGCAGAGAGTGTCCGCAGCACCATTTGTAAAATGAACTTAATAATTACAAATACCAAATTCAGAGACAGAAGAAGACAATGCATCATGCCTGTACTTCAGAAAAGGCTCTGTACAGAAGTTGCTAAATAAGAAGCCCAGCATTCTATCAAAAAGTGGCTAAAAGCAGATACATACTGTTGGTAGTTCCTGAGGGATATCATTTGTCCATGAGAGCAAACATTCAGTAGCTAGTTTTAACCATTTACAGTAGTTTATGAACCTCTCAGGTTCATCTGTGAATACCTCTTTCTACAAATGTTAAATCTAAAGTGGTATTCAGATATTAGTCATATTGTTATAGACGGTGTGCTCAATCTAAATCTTGAAAAACTCAGTTTCAAGTGAAAAATTTCCCAAGCACACTGGCAAGACCAAAGCAAGAGTTCCTGCT